AATGATTTTGAGCTCTTTCAAAGTTTCTAGTAGAAATGTTGTGTCGCTCACCGACCAGTTTTACTTCCCTAACATGCTAATATTATTAGCGTTAGCCAGGCGGAAATGGCAAAGTCGCACATGCGCAGTCAGGTCAGTTTTTCACCATCAGATAAAAACAAACAGATCAAGCGTTTACATGCGCACTGATCGGGTTTCGGATCGGCGTAAACCACCCGTTTCGTTCTGATCAGAAATTATAACGGATCGCGCCGAATACACAAAAAATAACCCGAACGGAGTGTTTACATGACACACTTTTATTCCGACCGGCCATTTGATCCGGTTACTTATGTCCATGTAAACATACCCAATGAACCCCTCATTGCCTCTGATGTGTGTCCCATCGGTGTATGAATGTGATAACGCACTGATTATTCTTTGTATAGATCTAAGAGTGTATGAATGTGATCTAAAGCTCTGATTATTTTTTGTAGAGATCTAGTACAGTGCAAGAATGGGAATATGAGGGCACCGATTGTGTTGTAAAGAGATTTTTTTCATTCATTCAACCTTTATTTAGACAGGATAATCCCACTGAGCCTCGAGGACTCATTTACAAGGGAGACCTGATTTCAACAAAGAATGATGACAACAATGGACAACAGTGACAACAATAGACAATTATAAAAAGGCATGCAGATTTACTTTTTATTTATACAAATTAAAATAAAATGGTAAAAACAAAAAACAGCTAGATCATAAGACAAATGTAGAAAACTAAAAACAGGAACATGTCTGCATTGGTCCCTGCCAGGAGTCCCAACAGATTCTTAAAGCCACTTAGAGAGAGAGGTCAAGGTCAAGAGCTTCAGATCTTTTTGCAAGATATTCCAGGAAACGGGAGCGGAGTAGGAGAAGGCCCTTTGGCCAAGTTCAGTCCGCACTGAGGGAACACAGCAGGTAATAATGTCCTGAGATCGCACGCTGTAGCAGCACACAGGCAGTGACATGTAGGAGGAGATGTATGAAGGCAACAGACCAAGAAGTGATTTAAAGATGAAAATGTACCAGTGAGAGAGTCTGCGTGAAGTTAATGATGTCCAGTTAACCAGTGAATACAGGGTGCAATGATGGGTACGATAATCACAGCCAGTTATGAATCTTAGTGAACCGTGATCAGTCAGAGTCAGAGTCAGAGTCAGAGTTTCTTTATTGTCATTCGCACCTCATGTGGTACATGTAGTGGAGCGAAATTATGTATATGGGGTCCCAGTTACATCCAACAATAAAATGTATAAGAAAAACAGTAATAACATCTAAGATATGAACTAAGAAAAATATCAACTAAATATACACTAAGCACTCATAACATAAAACATTGAACATCAGCACAAACATGAACATGAGTCTGTGAGCAGATGTGCACGCATGAACACATCAACATTGAAACAGATCAGCAGCAACATGAAACAGATCAGCAGCAACATGATATGGTTTTTCACAGTGATTATTCTAGTTAGAGATTCATGAGTCTAACAGCCTCAGGGTAGAAGCTGTTCCTCAGTCTAGTGGTTCTACACTTAATGCTCCTTAACCTCCTTCCTGAGGGGAGTGGGGCAAAAAGTGTGTGTGCTGGGTGGGTGGGGTCCTTCATGATGCAGGTGGCCCTCTTCCTGCATCTGGAGGTGTAGATGTCTGTGATGGTGGGGAGGCTGATTCTGACAGATTTCTGTGCAGCCTTCACCACTCTCTGCAAAGCTTTTCTTTCTGCAGCTGTGCAGCCTCCATGCCACACGTTGATGCTCGAGCACAGGATGCTCTCCACTGCACACCTGTAGAAGGAGGTGAGGACTGAGCTTCCCAGACCAGCTCGCCTCAGCCGTCTGAGGAAGTAGAGTCTCTGATGAGCTTTCTTGATCAGGCTGGTGGTGTTGTTGCTCCAGCTGAGGTTGTCATTCATGTGTACACCCAAGTACTTGTAGCTGGAGACCACTTCCACCGCAGATCCTCTTATGTTCAGGGGGGTGTAG